CATCTTTATTTCTGTCCCATGTGAAGACAGGAGGCATTCATGGGGAACAGAGACTGAAGTTGTTGGAAGTCTTCATTTGCTTTCACGCAATCCCTGCTGCTGATAAGAACCTTTCCATTTTTAAAAGAAAAAAAGCAAAGGTGGGATAGGGTTAGGGCACTTCAGCAGGCACCTAGGAAACTGCCTGCAGTTGCACTGCTGCCCATAGGCACTATGTTGACTATGCCCAGACTAAAAGGACTAAAATCCAAATGTTATCTCTGTTATTTACAAAAGAATAAAAGATTCATTACAAATAAGTATGATCTATTCAGGCCAGCAATGAATTAACAAAGCATAATTGATCGTGTATATAAACTACTAACTGCGGGCAGGCAATTACTTTCTATAGTGAATTAGTCATTCCAGGCTCCAGTTAGCCCAGAACAGTCACAGTGCAATCTGGTGGAAGAAAATTAATCATACTGAGGTCAATGGGCATCACTGCCGGGCAATCTCATTGAACCCAAACATTCAGGCTTCATGTCTCAAATACAGTGGTACCTCAGCTCATGAACGTCTCAGTTCATGACCAAATCGGGTCATGAATAGAAATTAAAAAAAAAATTCCTCGGTTCGTGAACTCTGCATCAGGTGATGATCGCAATCGTGCCTGTCTTCCCTGCACTGGCACGATCGTGGTCGTGATTGGGGGGCGGAGGAGATGGCCGCGATCTTGCTGGGGGGAATGGCCACGATTGTGCTCGGGGTTGGGGGGAGATGGCCGTGATTGCGCCTGTCTTCCCTGCCTGAGCATGACCACAATGGCATTCGTCTATGGTCACAATTGTGCTCACACTTGTGCAGGGAACATGGGCGTGATCGCGGTCATGCTTGTGCAGGGAAGACAGGCATGTTCACGGTCATGCTCGGGGGTGGGGGAGATGGCTCCAATCGCACCCGTCTTCTTTGTGATTAAAAAAAAATATTTACAGAATGGATTAACTTTATTTACATTGAACCTTATAGGGAGATTTGACTTAGCTCATGACCAATTTGGGTCGCGACCAGAGACCTGGAACGGATTGAGTTCGTGAGCCAAGGTACCACTGTATCAAAATAATTCCCACATGGTAGCTTGCCTGGAGTCCCTGTGGCCTTCATAATGCCTTTTACAGAAGCACAACAACTGCCATGTTTGCCACGGACTGTAAGATTTAAATGTACCTACACCCAGTCTGAGGTTTAAAATCTTTTGAATTATTGTATTGTAATACATACTGCATGGTTTCACAGGGTTATTCAAAGTAGCAGTCCTATGGACACTTACAGTATTCATCATTTTGACTTTTCTACCTTTTGTTATACAGGGTGGTGCAGAGAAATGGGAAATATTAGAACTAGGAGTTGGGAACCCCATTGTTTGGAACCAGTGCAACCTCAATTAGAACTTCTTTCCATTAGTTATAATGGAGTGGTGGATTGGTGTGCAACGAGTGTTCGCTGTAAAAGTCTTTTATAAGAATTTTGATAGTGTGACTGCTGCACAAAGGGAAGTTCAGCATCATTACAAGTTAGGACATCATGATTGTGTCCTGTCTGCTCATGCAATTACAACATGGGTGCGTAATTTCGAAGAAGTGGGTTTGGCCTTAAAAAAGAAGTCCCCAGGTGGTGTTTGAATGGCCCACACATCATATTGAGACTACCATCATGTGAGCCCTCACCGCTCTGTTCGACAACACACATCATCACTACATTTGGAGTGACAAAGCATGCAAAGAATACTGCACAAGTTGAAGTTCCATCCTTACAAATTGTGGATTGTACAGGAACTCAGACCCAATGGAAAACAGATTCATGATGTTATCTTTAAGACATAAAATGAATATTGAATGAATATTGATTACCATCATTAATTGCATATCCTGTACAATGCATTTCATCATAAAATGTATAATGTGGTTATTCATGCATTGAATATCAATTGAAAATTTCCTGTTTCCCTGTATTACAGGTTGCAAATGAAATACATTTCACTGGCTTTGTTATCGCTTGAAGTATATAAGATACTCAATGCAGATGCAAAATATTTTGAAAAATGCTTCCACCAACTATTAACTCAAGGGCTCCATGTGGATGCAAAGGGAGCACATACTTCTGCAAGGCTCTGAACCATAGAGTAAGCCCAATAAACACTGTCAATGTCTGAATTATATCCATTTCCTATCTTGCACATGAATCATTTGGCATACGTAAATGGAGAAAGGGTATTACAAGCATACAATAATCCATATCACAATATGCAGAACAAAGTTATGAACTCTTGATGGTACAGCCAGTGCTACTAAGTCCTATGATCCTGTTGCTGCAGTAGACATTGGAGCCTCACTAGGATATGTTGCATGACCTTTGAGTGATTTTTCTAGGATAACATGGCAGTCCTTCTTCATGTACTGGTGAGGCATGAATTTTGGAACTGAAGGCAATGATCAGTGGTGCTTCATTACTTTTTATGTTGGGCCTAACCCTGGAACAGGTTATTCATGAATATCCATTTGTATCTGTTAATTTCTTACAGGTATTATTCTTTTAAAAATGCTGGATGAAAATAGTGTTTGCTCAAAAGACTGGGGTAAATGTAGTTATCTAAAGCTTTTCAGTGGATAATTTTATTATATTTATATCATGCCTTTTTTCTCTTCAAGGAACTCAAATTATTATTTTTATTTATTTGATTTTTATCTCACCCCATTAGCCATAAGACTCTCTTATGTAAAAATAACACAATTCTCCTACTCCTCTCGATCTTATTTTCACAACAACAACCTTGTGGGGTAGGTTGGGCTGAGAGTCTGTGATTGGCCCAAAGGCAACCAGTGAACTCTATGGCTGAATGGGGACTAGAAACTGGATCTCCTGAGTTGCAGCACAGCACTCTTAACCACTACATCACAGTGGCTCAGTAATGGGGCATATTTATGTGCTTGCAATGGTAGCTCAAACTATATAGCTTAAGTCTAGTTCTTGTAGATTATGTTTCCATCACATAATTGTATTTCCAGAAAGTGACCCTGTTGTACATACTGTTAATTTTGGAAATATAGCTGTTAGTGGATAGCTGGGTATCCCAATCCTTGGTAAGTCTATTGGAAGGAAGTCTCACAGATTTCAGTAGAGCTTTCCCAAGTGAAGCTGCAATCTATACACACTTCCCTGGATGTAAGTCCTATTGTACTCAGTGGAACTTATTTCTAAGTAGGTTTGTGTCAAGTAGAAGTCTCACTGCATCCAGTGCAACACAGGAAAAATGAGCCCCAGGAAAAATAAGCAGTCACCTGCCTCAGCTCTTGTGTGTACTATTGGCCTCTGTGTCCCAGACTGGGCATTTTCCAGGACTTCAGCAACCTGACACATATATATTTCTTTACCTTTAAGGTGCCATTAGACTCTTCGTTGTTTTTGCTGCAAGACATAAGGCATAATCCTAAGTAAGTTTAGACAGAAAAAAAAGCTCTGCAATTCTTAGTAGGGCTAGCAGAGGAGTGCTGTAAATTCTAGGGCTTTTCATTTGCCTAAACCTGAATAGGGTAAGTCATCATACATACTGGTACCTGTTTCCTCATACCACATACCAGTCCTCTGTTATTCTGCTCTCCTTATACAAATCTTTGGTGTGATCACCCTTAGAAAATTGTGTTCAGTTCTTGTCATCTTACCTGAAAAATGACATTACTGAGTTGAAAAAAGTGCAGAGAAGTGCAACTAAAATGGGGCGGGGGTGCTGGGACAACTGCCCTGTGAGGAGTGGCTACAAGCAACTGCTTAGCTTAGAAAAATGTGAGAAAGGGGAGACATTATAGAGATATGCAGGGAGATATTTTTTCTCCCTCTTCCATAACACTAGAATCCGGAGTCATCGCATAAAGCGGATTGGTGAGAGCTTCAGGGCAGATAAAAAGCAATTTTTAACACAACATATAATTAAACTATGGAATTCAGTGCCACGGGAATTACAGATGGCCATCAATTTGGATGGCTTGAAAAGGGGATTGGACAAATTCATGGAGGAGGCTATCAGTGGCTGCTAGCCTGGCTACCTCCATTACCAAAGATGGCATGCCTGCATACACAGTTGCTTGGGAGATGCTTTGCACAGGTGTTTTGCCTCCGTGCCAACGGACTGACTGCTGGACCGGATGGCACACTGGCTTTTATCTTCTTCGTAGATTGATTTCGAAGTAGTATACGTCGATTCCTTTCCGAACATCTTATTCAAGCTAAGATTCCAGTTAGGGCTGCCAGCCAACTGTTGCTATTCTTTAGGCAACTGTCTTGTATCTAACCACGCAACACTAGTACGTTCCCTTGGGTTCAGTGGGACATACTCTTCCGAACAGTTAGGTTTAGGGTTGCAACACTTAGAAGTTTTCCTCGTGCAAATGTCCGGGGCAGGTGAACCTCCAAATTTGCTGCTCGTCACAGTTGTTGACAGCACTAGTGCCTGCTAACTATATTTGGCCTCTGCAGAGAAAAAGTGTATGGATGGAACCAACGAGTTCACAAGGGATCATGACCGTTGAGGATGTGTAAATTTCACATTTCCCTTTGTCTTTACTCTCTACGTACAGACTCCCCGTTCCTGCCCACCTCCTGGATTTATTTTATGATTCCCCTGTCAGCCTTTTGTTTACGATACTCTACTTTGGGTCGGAGGAGAAGCAGGCATTGGTCAGTCACATTGCCCCGCCCCCTCAGAACACCCATCTTATTTAAGGGCAGTTGAGCTTCCTCTCGTTCTTTTGCATGAGGATATCCATCTTTACTAAGGGTGGCCGACTTTTTATCGCATTGCTTCTCTAAGCCATTGACGGAAATAAAGTGGTAGGTCTGGATCTTCAGGCCCTTTATAGGAGAAGCAGCAAACGACATCTTTGTTTTGGGCAATCGAGCCTTTTCCTGGAAGAACAACTCCACCTTTTCTTCCCTCCCACGTGCCTGCTGCGGGCCTATACCGGGACACAATAGAACACTAGAGTCAGCTGACAAGGAGGCGTGTAGTTCAATATGGCAGCCCTGCAGGAGAAGTTACTGTCTGGGAGCGAGAGAAAGAAACGTAGCGTCGTCGCTTTGTGGTCTGTGGGAGCCTTGTGGCTGGCTTGTCTCACAACGCGAGCTGGGGCAGGTGGCGATCCATCGCTGAAATGCGAAGACCTGCGAATTGGCCAATATCCTGAAGCTGTGAGGACGCGAAGTAGAACCAGGTTGCCATGGTGATGGGCCCTACACTGGGCTGGGGAGGGTTAAAGGGATTGCCGCCGTTTTTCTTGGCCGAGCTCCGGTGGTTTAAAGGCAGCATCGCAGGCGAACATGCAAGGCTCTCCTGCCTCCTCAAGGGTATGCTGAGGAGAAGCTGCACCTGTTGACACTGCAGACAGCTTTAAAAGATGCAGTAGCCCTGCCTGAGGGAGAAAAAGTTATAAAGAGGCAAGGTATGGGGCATAGTTATTTGGGTTGTGTGGTTAGTTTTGGATTGCAAGCAGTGAAACCATCAGGTAAGACTGTCTAAACCTTGCTGTGGTTTAAATGTGTGGAAAAAATATTTGGGCAGAGCAGGAAAAGGAATAAGTCATTTCTTGCATGTGCAGACAAAGATAAACAGATTAAAAATATCAGTTACATCGTTGTGATTGTGCCTCATTTTGTAACAACTTGGAGCAGCTGTCACATTATTTGGTGATGTGGTGTTCTGGAAAAAAATAGCACCAATAAAATTATAGTTAGTTATACTACAAGACATATCAATTAAGCTTTCTCTTATTTGTTTGCTTAACAATGCAAAACCTGTGGATGTAGTGAAGTAGCAGTTAAATGCTAATATAGTTGGATGAGTGTTATGCTGTAAATTTAATCACTTGCCCACCACCTGTCTTTTGCCTGGTGCATCATTTTTAATGTAAGATAAACATATATGAAGATGATTATAATGAAAGCATATTTTATAAAAACATTGCTATACAATGCTTGGGGATTGATTTCTAGAGAAGAATTGCAAAGGGTCAGAGGAAATGACAAAGAGCACACAACTTCTTCAAGAATGTCATTTAAGTTCTCATAAACCATGGCAGAAAAAAACAAAGCTATTGGAAGCAGGTATCTTGAAAGTCCTGAATAGTAAAGAAAGAAGTAAGGTGTGTTTGATATGATTATTGGTTATTGTGATGTTCTTAATTATTTCAGTGCAGACATAGTTCCTTGACACAAGGCCATATGTGTGTTTATTAGAAAAAAGTCACTCAGTGGAACTTATTTGTACAATCTTGTACGCACTTTCCTGGAAGTGAGGGAGATCAAACACATACTTGTCAGTTAACATGCCTAGGATTGCACTGTAAAAGCTGGGTTATAACGAAATTTTATTGGAATAGTTCTTTCAACTCCCTGTGCTTCTTTTCACTCTTGTTTTGTAATGACTAGGTGCAATACAAACATATGTTACTGTTCTGTGTGCCACCTGTGGTGTGACGTGCACAGTGTAACAGCACTAATGGTCACAGCTAGCACTTCCCTTGTTGTAAATACTCTGAGGAAGCTTGCTGTGTTTTATAATATCTAATATGTGAACTGTAACATATTTTCAAACAGATAGCTGTATGACTTGTGTGTTTCTGTACCCTTTCATTCAGCAACTAAGATGAGAAGGAAAACTGGTTACTGATTCCTTTGGTAAAGCCAGGTATATTGGTTAGAGTGTTGGACTGGGAACCTGGAGGTTCAGGTTCTGGTTCTTGCTCAGTCATGAAGCTCACTGGGGTGATTTTCAGCCAGTTGCTGGCTAATCTACCTCACAGGGTTGTTGTGAGGCTAATGTGGATTAGACAAGAACCTTGTAAGCCTTGGGTTCCTTGCAAGGGAAGAAAAGTGGGGTAGAAATTTAATGTTAATAATTATGATCATGATGTGGTGGTGCTGTTGAATACTTGTGTAGAAACTCACTTTACATTTTTTTATCCTTAATCATTGAAACATATATTTGTGAAGATCCTAAAATAGACAATGAGACACAAGAACCCTTGAAGTGTACGAATCATACTGCATATGGTAAGAATTATAGTAATCTAATGCTTTTATTCTTCTTAATGCAGTTTATTATTTGACCAAATACCACTGATTATCAGGATATATACACTAATCCCCTCCTTGATCAGTCATGTATGTTCTTTTGACAGTGATCACTAGTAAGTATAGTAAAGCTGGGCTACATATATTTCTCCAAGCACATTCTAATATCATATGTCAGGGAGTCTGTGATCCCATACTATGGTTTTGCCATACTAGTCATTGCCTTTTAATCTTAATTTGTAAGGCTTGATTTCTAAATTATGTCGCTTGAATTTAATTGGTTTAAATAACCTATCAAGTTATTCTGTGTTGCTAGCCATCTTGTTAAAAACATGCCAATACTTCTTTCATGTGTTATGTTTGAGGCCTTTCTGTAGAGTTCAACAGAGAATGATGTTCTTTTTACACCCTCAGTTGCCTGTCTTCCAGCACCAAATATTACATGCAAGGATTTCAATGGGAGTGAAACACAATTCACAGGAACTGAAATAGGATTTTACAAGCCTGTAGAATGTCGAAACGTGTAAGTGAAATTTGAATTTAATGCATAATTGTTACGATCACAATAAACTTTATCCCTATTATAATATTTTAATTGGGAAGTTGTTTTGTATATTGCAGTTACTTTGTTTGAAATGTGGTTAGTCTTCCTCTTTTTTGTAGATGAGACTAGTAATCCATCTCTTTTAATCAACTGTAGTAAATTACTTCACATTGATGGACCAACTGACATATTTGGGATCAGAAAGGACTTATTCCCATCCCCCCAAGTAATTTGGCTCATTTTATCCTTTATTGATAGCTTTGCTTTCTTGTTTAGTAACTGTTCTATAACTCTGTTAATTTCCTTCATAGTTGCTGTTTTTCTGATTTAATCTTATTTCTACAATCTGCCTGTTTATATTTAAATATGGGAAGCAGACACAACTGCTCAGAAATTCTAAGTAATGTCATTATTAAGTGGTTAGTGTTACCACAACCGATTAAAAAAAGATATTGTGGTTTGTCTAATTTATAAAACAGTTTTATGCATATCTGCTCAGAAGTCCCATGAGTTCACTTGGAGATTCACAGGAGGTTGCAGCCTTAATGACTTGTTACTTTGGAAAAATGTCTTTAGGGCACAATAGTATGGCTTGCACAAGGAGGGCAAGGAAACTAGGCTGGGAAGACTTCAGGCTAGGTCATATCCCGCCCTCTGGTCTATTCCCATTCCGCCATTCAAATGTCCCCTTTTATTCTTTTGTGAAGATGTTTCTCCAGCTTCATAAAGTAGCAGCTGATATGATTCTTTCTGTGCCTGCCATGAGGGGCAGTGGAGTAAGAGCTCTATTTCCCAGTTCTAAAATCGGAGCTTTCCTCCAACCTCAGAGCTGGGTATTCTGCGATATCCTATGACCTCTCAGACGCTGCATAGGAGCCAAAGTATCGGTTCCTGTACGTTATTAAATTCAGTCAGATACAAGCAGACAAGCCAAGGCTTCCGAGTAGGCCCTACTTATTTTTTTCTACATTCTAGAAATAATTGTTTTTATATATTATATACCTGTGTTATACTTCAGACCAAAAGTCTTTTTAATATATCATTTTATTGCTAGGCTTTCAGTGCAGCTAGTTGAAAGTGACCAGGCTAAAACAGTAGTCAAATGTACAGGGTGAAGCACTGCAAAATAGTAGGTACATGGTTTTATTGTGCATTTGTTTTCTTTTGTTGTAGTGTCTGATTATTTTTATTAATGGTTTGTTTTTTATATAAAATGTTTACCTGAAAGGCCAAATATAAAAATACACAGATTCACACCTATTCTTCTAGCTGTTCAAGCAGTTTTTCATTTGACCTGTCCTTCTGGGGTGCCTTGCCAGGAGGGCACTCAAATACACAGTATTGAAATAATTCCGGTTCTTGGGAAAGAGATCTCAGGAAGGGAAGATTACTGCTGAGACCTTTGGCAAATGACTTTACAGGCTATGGCAAAGATCCGTTTTTGTATCTTTTACTATTCAGTATGTACATGAAGCCACCAGAAGAAGCCATCTGGCAATTTGAGCTTAGCATCTTCATTGTTCAATGTACTGACAATATCCCACTCAATTCCATCAGATTCTAGGGAAGTGAAGCTTACTAATGGACTGGATAGGTGACTTGATGAAGATTTTTAATGAACAAAGTGAAAGTTGATCAAGATAATCAGAAAATACTTTTGACTAAGTGGCAGGAAGGCTTACCTAGAAGTAGGTGTCTAAATGGAGTTGCATGTCCTTTAAACATCTGTGGCAATGTCCAAGAATGCCTCTTACATTCAAATTGTGCTACTGTAACATGTTATGCATGTTTCAAAGGTCTGCTTTTGAAAAGGGCTCAGAAACTAAAATCAGTCCAATATGCAGCATTCAGACTTCTAACAGGCCTAACATTTAATTTGGCTATGATTCCCACTTGGCTACCTTTTTTCTGTGCCCAGATCAAGGTGTTGGTGCTTTGGTGGAGTCTGAGTTTGATTCTTGATGTTACTGATTCTGCACACTCAGTCTCGGTGAACTACATCTATGGCCAGCACTTAATTAGGAATACAAACAAAAACTCTGGGATTTTTTGAAACCCACATTAGACCAGTGTTCTTGGTGCGTTATTTGAATACCTTTTCCTACTTTCATGCTAAACTACTGAATTTGGCTCAGTGGAAACTCCTCTGTGGGTATCGCCACTAGAACACACAAGTTGGTAGGTAGCAATTTTGAAAATCAACTAAAGCATAATTACAGCCTCTTTTTACAGTTGAGGTCAATTAGTTGCCTGTTTTCTGTTGATATGCACAAGCCACCTATATGAATTATTCAGATGTGTAATTATGGTGAAAATTATACAATGAGCAGTTAATGAACAAATATGGAGAATTAATCATGCAGTTCTTGGAATCTGAGCATTAGTTTTGCTAGTCTCTGTGGACTAGACCTCACTGGCTGGGCTTTATTTATTTATTTTATTTATTAAAACATTTTTATGCCGCCCCATTCGTTGAAGCCTCGGGGCGGCTCACAACAATAAATTAAGACAATATCAATTAAAATATATACATTAGAATAAAATAAGCCGCCCTGGCCAAATAAAATTCAATAGTATTAACATTTAAAATGCTGCTTAAATAAAAAGGTCTTTGCCTGGTGCCGAAAAACAAATAACGACGGCGCCAGGCGGACCTCTCTGGGGAGCGCATTCCATAACTTAGGCGCCACCGCTGAGAAAGCCCTCCTCCGAGTAACCACCCTCCTAATTTCCTTCACTGAGGGCTCCCGGAGGAGGGCCTCTCCCGCTGATCTCAGGGGGCGGCTGGGCATATATGGATGTAAGCACTCCTTCAGGTAACCAGGACCCAAGCCATTTAGGGCTTTATAGGTCATCACCAACACCTTGAATTGGGCCCGGACTTCAATGGGAAGCCAGTGAAGCTGATGGAGAACTGGAGTCATGTGAACATAACATCCAGTCCCCGTCAGCAGTCTGGCAGCTCTATTTTGAACCAATTGAAGTATCTGGACCATCTTCGAGGGTAGCCCCACGTAGACCGCGTTACAGAAGTCAAGACGGGAAGTCACCAGTGCATGAGTCACTGTTGCGAGGCAGTCATACTCCAGATAGGGGCGCAGCTGATGAATCAGCCGAAGCTGGAGGAAAGCGCTCCTTGCTGCTGCTGTTACCTGAGCTTCGAGTGAAAGCTCCGGGTCGAGGAGCACTCCCAAGCTGCGGACCTTATCCCTAGGAGGGAGTGCAACCCCGTTCAGGACAAGGTTCAATTCACCTTCTCCGAAGCCTGAACCACCAACCAACAGGACCTCCGTCTTGTCTGGATTGAGCTTCAGTTTATTGGCCCTCATCCGGCCCATTACCTCGGCCAGGCACTGGTTCAGTACAGCCACTGCCTCACCTGGATTGGTGGAAAACGAGAGGTAGAGCTGGGTATCATCAGCGTACTGATGTTTCCGCAGCCCACACCTCCTGATGACCTCTCCCAGCGGTTTCATGTAGATGTTGAACAGCAAAGGGGACAAAATGGACCCCTGCGGTACTCCATGGCATAGCTGCCATGGCGCAGAGCCATAGTCCCCCAGCACCACCTTCTGGAATCGGCCATTGAGATAGGAGCGGAACCACTGCAAAGCAGTGCCTCCGACCCCCAATCCCGCAAGCCTATCCAGAAGGATACCATGGTCGATGGTATCGAAAGCCGCTGAGAGGTCCAGGAGAACCAACAGGGACGCACTCCCCCTGTCCTTCTCCCTGCACAGGGCGACCAAGGCAGATTCAGTACCGTACCCGGGTCTGAAGCCGGACTGAAATGGGTCCAGATAATCAGTTTCATCCAAGAGTGCTTGGAGTTGTCCCGCCACCACTCGCTCTAACACCTTGCCCAGAAACGGGATGTTGGCCACTGGTTTATAATTTTGCCACTTTGACTTGACCTGTTGATACTGGCTGGGTTCAGTTTGGGAATAGACCACAGCAGGAGATGACAGAAAGCTCTGTTGTGTGTCTTTTCAGCTGCCACAGTTATATGCTGTAGACCTGATTAAGCAATAGGAAGCACAGGAATAAGATCTTTGCAGGCACTCTTGCTTATCGACTCTTTGACTACAACATGTGGAATTGGAGTTTGTTGTCATCCTTACTTCTTCTGGTAGCACATGAGAAAGATATAACACATATCTGGACTGTGACATGATGGATTTTGAAACATTTTTTAAAGTAGGTCAAACTGGGATATGTATAAAATTCTATTAGAGTTTTATTTTATTTTGTCACAGTAATAGTTACACTAATTATCTTACCTTGAAATGCTTCCTTGTTTACATTGCCTTAAACTATTATAAATATGGTAATACTGTAAATCTTGGTTCTAAAAATGTTATTTGAAACTGTTAGGCTTAAATAGATGACTGAACATTGTTTGGAATGATTTAATGATAGTTTAACAAATTGGTTCAGCTGCATTTCTCTCCTATTTTTTGTTTCTAGAAATGGTTATTCTTATAAAGTAGCAGTAGCTCTTTCTTTATTTCTTGGATGGTTGGGAGCAGATAGATTTTATCTAGGATATCCTGCATTGGGTGAGTGTCCTTTTTTCTTTCAAATTTTTGTCTACAGTCCACTTCAGTAATAGTATATGTATAAAGCTGGTATATGAACAGCCTACTGGTTGCAAGTCTCATTCCACACATAAGAAGAACACTGTAAAGAGTATGTGTATATGTATTATTAAGCTGTTAAAAGGAATGGATGGGTTTTGTATGTGCATAACACATTTTAGAATACCTTAGGGATGGAGAAGAATATAGGAAAAATTAAATGTTGCACGAATAGGCATCAGTAGTGCTAACACATCAGGATGATGATTGCAGGCAGAAAGTGGTGTATAAATTGGGAAAAACAGTTACAAAATTGCCAATACAACATCCAATACCAAACAATAAAATAGCAGAAACAATAAAAAGTCTTTGACTACAGACCAGCAGTAAATTAACAGTAATTTAATTAAAAAGAGATTGAAACAAACCAGTTCTTAAGATCCTACTTAAAACAGTGAGTAAACCAGGCAAACCTCCAAACATGGAGTTCCATAGTGGCAGGGTTGCCACATGAAACTGCTCTGCTCTTCTTTGTCCAACCAAATGATCTTACTGACAGGTTCTGCCCTATTATACATTATGTAAATTACAAACATTTGGAAAAACACTTGCTAGTCCCAGGAAACACTCTGAACTTCCATTGCAAAGGACTTAAATTTGAAGAATGACCTTTAAAAGTAGGGTTAATGGGTCCTTCAAGCACATATTGTTTCATGGAACAGTGAAAGAATCTCCTGGTAGCATTTTTTTTGTCTTTTCTTCCACATTTTGGAAAATTCTTTACAGTGGCAGTAAAAATTAGATCTCCAGGACTTTTGAACTTCAACTCCAGCATTCCTAATGATTAGCTAAGCTAGCAGGGGTTTCTGCCCATCCCCGGTTTGCAACACATGAGTGGTAAAAGATAGCAGGATACTATAGAACTGATAGATTCCATTTGGAAAATGATCTTTCAGGAAGTGTGTTTCTAGATAACAGCACTTTGACATGTAAGACACTTCTGGGGCTTCTAAAATGCAAACTGCCATGCAGAAAGTATTCTAACATTTAATTGATTTGATAGTTCAGTAAAAACTTTCTGACCTAAATTGTGTATTTTAATTTTTGTTAACAAATTGGAGCATGTTACTTTTCTCTTATTTCTAAACTCTTTATTACCACTAAGTAATTTGATGGTAACTGCCCTTGCTGATTTGAGACATTACTGGCAGCAGTAGTGCTTATGCTTTTATTTGCTTGACTAAAGTTTTAATTACCTTTTGCCCACATTTTCATAAGACATGCCATTTGACTGGAAACCTTTCAGATTATAGAGTGTAATATTGCTATTTCCCAAAGGAATACCAATGATTAAATTTGTATGTTAGACAAATAAATAGTTCTGAGGGTCTGGTGTTTTATTATAACACTTACACACATAGAACATTCCAACATAAGCAAATAGCTTGTTCCAAAGCCTTTCCTAAGTTCCATAACCTTGGGGTTGTTTCCAGCTATTCAGTACTGCATTTATACTTCTTGTATCACTTTTTTTTCCTGACTGCCCCCTAGACAAGGGCATTGTCATTTCTGGGTACTACATAACACAAGACAGACTTTTAGCATTTAATAAATCTAAAATACTCGTAGAACTGCAAGTACATTCATCTCTGGATGTAAGTATTCTATAAGGATGGAGTTGTTTGTCCAGTGTATTATAGGACACCATAACTAAAGTTGCAATTAATTGATACTTTCTATTGCTTTCCAGTTTTGTTTATTCTAACAATCTGGTTGTTGGCTTTACGAGAAATGGTATTGAAGGTAGTATAAAATTCTGTACAAATGTCATACATCATAAAAGGAAAAAACAGAGGTAACACATGCCATTAAGCAAAATCAGCAATGAGTTCAGCAGCCAGCAGGCCATCTTCAGAGAGAGAATCCTCATGAAATCAACCACGTACCAGAATTAATTGACAAAACTTCCATAACCCTGAGTAAACAGGATAGATATTGCTAACAAAAGCATAGTAGTGAGGAAGTAAGGCTTTGGGTCCATGGGCAGCTGCAAGCACAGGAAAAAGCTACCTGTCTAACTACCTGGAAGATGGTGTCTGATGAGTATCTCTGTTGCCAGCCAAGTTCATGTGGGAGCAGGACAGGTATAATGCAGTCTTACACACATATGCCCAGAAGTAAGCTCCATTTAATTCAATAGGTGTAAGATGGTTGCATTAGGATTTTAAAGGTAAAATAATGAAACTTCAAATTGTGCTCAGAACCAAACTGGGAGTAAGTGAAGCTCTTTAAGTATAATTTGGTCGTACTGGTGATCTGCCAACCACCTGTCAACCAAACTGAACTCGTTACAGTATATTTCTGAACTTTACATAACTAGGCTAGTTATTCCTTTCCAGGATGAGATATAGTTTTAGCTGTCATTGCTACCTGAGGAAATAACCAGTGTTGATAGAAAACATTAAATTGCTTTTTCTAGATTAGCTTTGTTATCACTACATCATTATGTATATACAGTCTTGCTACTAAATGCAAGTATTCAAGTTTATGTAAGAACCAGGATTACATAGGACACTTCTGTAACTTGAATCATATCTTGTCACAAAGTATATTTAGTATGGTTTGCTGGTATCTTAGTTTTTAGAAACTTTTAAAAAGATTTTAAAATTTGAAGTAATATTGCCTGTGCTCAGACAAAATATATAAAGAGTGGGCTTTTTGAATTCTGAAGTATCGAATGCTTTATATTCTAATATGTTCTGCTTCTCTAGGCCAAACTAGACATGATGTATTTGCAGAATTAACAGTTGTATGGAATTTTTTAACTTTTAAAATTAAAGTTCAGTTTGGAAATCTCATTTAGGTTAGGACCATAGTATGTCCTGATCTGCAAAACTAAAAGGAAAGCTTCCAATGGTATTATTGAGAGCTTTACTTTCAGTACAAATAGCAGGCAATTAGTCCACCATTCCACTCTAACATAGATAACGCCCAAGAGTAAGGAGACACCTTAGAGGTGACACCAAAAACACCATCCTGGTTTTGTCCCTAAGGTATGCAAGAATACTTGCATAGTTTGCTTATACTACTTCAGTATTGAAGTTACTTACATGGTCCTTCACAGGTTGTTATGTGCATCTATAATGTGGATCTAGGTATTCAGTCCCTTAAATTACTGAACATATTTTGCTATGGGTAGTCTCCAACAAAACCTCTCCTTGACAAATTCTTGTAAAGAGTTGCAGCTCTTGTGTCAAAAAAAATTGTGTCCAAAAATTGTCCCCTGTGTATATATTCTATTTTCCAGCATCTGTTCTTCACAACTGTTCCTCACATTTAGGGGATTTCAGATATTCTGCTTAGTGTTCTGTTTCTATTGAGTGTATGTACATTCTGTAATGGGGAGATAATCAAACAAAAGTTTGGAAAAATGCAATTTTACTGGTTATATTCCTTTCAATAACATATAGGTGCTTTTAAGGAATGAAAGATGTTTTGAACAAACTATGATTGTTGTAAGCCGCCCCGAGGTTTCGGCAAGGGGCGGCATAGAAATGTTATAATAATAATAATAATAATAATAATATTCCTGTACAGAAACTGTAATATTTTAAAACAAAATTGCTCAATGATATAATTGTCACTTTATTCACAGGTCTGTTAAAATTCTGCACAGTAGGATTTTGTGGAATTGGTAGTTTGATTGATTTCATTCTAATTTCAATGCAGGTAAGTTCACCACATCAGGATAAAAGTGATTGAAAGGATCCAGAAAATGACAAGATTCTACAATGAACTTGTGCTAATTTGGTAGAATAGTTGGCTTCTCTTACTTGAATAATGGACTCCCATATCATAAACTACTTTTTAAACTCATCTCAATTTCAAGAACAGTTTGCCATAAGGCCTGTGGTTGTTTAAACAACAACAACCAAGTGCAACAAATTACATTCGTTGGTGTGGGAATGGGAACTCTGGCCACTGTTGTTTATCAATGTGTTACTGATTTCTGAACAGTAGTTATGCAGCTATACAATACTTATGTCATTTGATACTGTATATTCCCTATCCCTATTTCCCATGTCTCTATCATTGCTGGGAAATGTGAATAAGTAAGATTAAGAAAGGGGGATGAAAAAGAGGCAAAAACACTGATAAAACCTAAGAGGTTCCCATGTTACTTTCTTTTTCTCTTTTAGAATACAGATTCAGTACTTTGGAAAATTATGCCTTCTAGGCCTATACTTATTAGGCATTTTGCCACTACTGAAAGCCTAGAGATCCATAATTTCCAATTCTTATTTTGGGCCTATATCACAGATGTGTAGCCAAGCAATGTAGTGTCTAATCCACAATGTGTGCCAGCCTGGAAATATATACCTTGCCATTCTTTTATATTTGTCTGAGATAGCACTGTCAAATCATAAGAATTAAAGTGGGCTCCTGTAGAATGTACCTTCAATGGTAGGTTGAATTTCACAAATCAATAGTATCCAGTAGGTCCTAAAATAATCCACTTGTGTGTTTAAAATGCTAAGACAGAACAACCTTCTACTACCCTGAACAGATTTGTGTTTTCTTCACATTCCATACCTTGTGTGTTATCAGTATAAAAAATGTAGCAAAAATTTTTATACCTATAGGTTAACCATATCTTAAGGTTGCGGATAAAACTCAAGACTTGTGGTCAAAAATTTGTCAGTCGGTAGTGTTACAGCTACTCTGTTCTGCCCTTGACACTTGTTAACATGGTACATTGGTGATTAATACATGTTATTGGAAAATGCTTATACTGTCTTGATTGAAAATACTATAGGAAGATTTGAGTAGAAGAACTTGCAACAGATGTATTTTGCACCTGCTAGCTCAGAATGGGTTGTGATAGAGATTTTAAGATCAATATTTAGGCCTGTAAGATTCCAGAAATATGCTATTCTGGTCTTAGATTTAAGAGGGTTTCTCAAAACAATTTCATGTTGGTAGATTTTGCTCAGTGACATTGCAGAGGAAGAAGTATATAGATGTTCTGTACAATTTAGAAGTTAAATCATTTGATCCCTTTGATTTAAATTTTTGTGTTCATGCTGCTTGACATCTCTATAAAGTCATGTTAGTATTCAGGAAAAATGATGCAATGTTTAAAATATGTATTTAGTAACTGTGGGCAATAATACCTCATGCTGCCTGCAAAGTAGGGGTCCTACTTCTAGCATAATAGGAAGCTAATAGATTCTGAAGCAGGCAGAAACTAGCAGAAATGCTCATTTTCAGCTGAAGCAGAAGCTTGCAGAAGAGATCTATAGGACAATCAAAGTGTCGAATCAGCTAATAAGTGACTTCACTTGAAAAAGAATTCCAGTTAAAGAATTGTTGGAGTATTTTTTTTTTTTTTTTTTTTTTTGGTAGCTCTAATAAGAGGTGGTTATTTCTTATTGAGGGCTGGGTGCTGGTTTGTTGTGACACACAGTAGTGAAACTAGATGTTTAAAAGCCATAAACCTGTAATATTTTCTCTTTTAGATTGTGGGACCTTCAGATGGCTCTAGTTACATCATAGATTATTATGGAGCAAGACTTACCAGACTGAGTATTACTAATGAGACATTCAGAAAACCTCAAGTATACCCATAAGCCTTTTGGTAAGTACCTCAATTTGGGTATATGAAAGATTCTTTTGTTGATTGATAATCCTAACTTATTTGTATAAAATTGCACACGGAAGGGAATATACCAACCCATGCTTTTCCCTTCATTGAAATGAGGGTTGCTAGAATTGCTTGAAAAAATTCATCGATTAACTGATTGATTCTAAACCAGAAAGACCTTTAATTTGATTTAGGACCTTTAATTTAGTTTACTTTTGTTGTAATGAGCTGCTTACTCCTTTTGCCTTACCCCCACTGCTTTTTAAACTTGTGTGAATGTATACAGTAGTTCACAATGAGGTTAAAAAAGAATAAGAACATTTTTTTCCATGTGCCTGAATACGCACCAAATATTTTTTTCATAATATTTATGCTGCAATTTGTATGTATTGCTTTTTATTATTAGATTTAATGCACAATCCTATATGAGCAAGATTAAACTACATATTTGTCAAGGAAGTCTAGCAAACAAGCTTTGTAGTTTAGAATCTCATTACACAGCTGTGATGACTCTTCGCATCATGTATATTTTCCAGCACTTAATGGTCATTACCTATGAAATCTGATGCTTTATTTACTTTTTGTTTGGTCTCCCATATTATGTAAGGTGGGTTTTTGTTTTTTTTTGAAAGAAATTTGTTTTGCCCTTTAACTGGTATTTTCTTGGTTTCCCAGGAAGCCTGCTTAACATTTCATTGCAAATCTCAGACTGTGGTCCAGTGGACAGCATGCCTAGCTTGGGCTTACTATCAGCTGTACATGGCAGGCAATCATATGCATAAGCTGTTTTAGAGTTTACAGTGGGGTACCTTAATATTGTTGTTATAGCATTATTCCATAGACCATAATATTTGCTTGCAGTTTCATGACTGTTCCAGTTGTTTGATTAATTTCATTAGGAGTTCAGCCCTTTTCTGTGTTAACAAAATTGTGATAGTGATGCATAAAAAGAAGACATCATTAAGGGTAGGATGTTTGGCTGCCTACTAAGTACTAGTTTGTTCAGTGCACACTGGCACACTGATGCAGTGATGTGAACTAGCTTCACACACATGCAGATCAGCTGGCCTTCAGGGTTGTCAACACATCTGGGTTTCTTCCATTGATCATGCCTCGCTTCACCTTTGGGGAAGTTCAGCATCAGCTCCTGTTTTTAATTCACAAGTGCAGCCTTTTTCCCACCGAAGTGGGTACCCATTTATCTACTCACGTATTGCATTCTTTTGAAATGCTGGTTTGGCTGGAACTAGAGGCATGTGATGGTAGCTTGCTCTGTTCCACGCTTCAGGGCTCAAACTGCCGGAGTGTTGGCCATTCCTGGTTGGCACATCCAGTATCATTAAGACTACACTACCACATCTCACAGTTGTATAGTAAATTCACTTTTTAAAAATTGTATTTATTTTCACAAAATACATTAGAAAGAAAAATGTATAGGAAAAAGAAAAAAATGTATAGGAAAAGGGATGCCATGGGATAGTATATAATTTCAGTATATAACAAGTTAACAAAAAGGCAAAAATTTCTGCTATGATCACATTTAAGTAATTCAATTTATAATCGTTCTGATACAGATTATTCTATAAAACTAATTGTGGCTAATATAACTTTGGTGTTAGAGTAAAAATCACTGACAGCTAATCATAGGCATTAGTTAAATTGCTTATAATATGCTTTCCGTTTTTCAATAAATTCTTTAGCAGGTTTTCTATTTATATAATCGGTTAGTTTTGCCGTTATTGCATACTCAGCTAGCTTGTTTTTCCATTCTTCAACAGGAAGAATTGTTGAGTTTCAATGTCATATTGGAGAAGTAAATTTACTTATTAACCTGCCTTTCTAAGGCAGTTCGAATAAATAAGTATAATTATTTCACTTCCTGCATGTATTTCTTAAAATGCATTTTATATGGACTAAACTAAGCCAATTTCCACTTGTGCAACAGCAGTTTCTCCTCCCTTTTTCTCTTGCAGCCTTCTTCATGCCCAAATCCTCTGTAGAAGCCCCCAATTGAAGGTGCATACGGGTGGCTACAGGTGCAAGTGGAAATTTATTCTGCTAGCACTGTCCATCCTTTTGGCTGAAAGCCATTACACACATCCCTATGTAACCGTAATTAAGAAAATCTGCACTGAGTTGGTACTCATGAGCTACAATTATATCTGTTCAATATGTTTAACTCATATATAGTAAAGTCCTATGCATGTAGGATTTTTTCCCCATCTAATTTGCAGCATGTTTCAGCTAGGTGTCTGAACATGCATAGGATTGTGCCTTAAAATATGTACTTGAGCTTTAACCCCAGAGAGCCATTCTCTGTCAATAAGGCAAAGGCCTAAGTGAAGTCTTTCAAGTAACACCACAGTTCATGTTTTTGTATATGGATTTTATTCCCAAAGCCTAGCTCTGTCCTTTTCTAGCCAAATTCAGCTACTTCCTTGGTATCATTGATATGATACACACTAGTAATCTGGCTTTACTTAACCAATATAATATAATTTAGAATTTAATTTCAGAAAATGTGAGTGATTTTACATTCACACTGGTTTTTTGTAGAGTGAGTTTCCAGGCATGTAAAAGTAAACTAGAATCACACATAGACAAAGGATAATATTGGATTGTATGAGGTCAAGTGTCATTCCATAGTTTTAATAATGAAATGTCTACAAATCTCAGCAGCTAGCCTGTGAATAAGAAAGAGCCTCTCTACAGTATTCCAAACTACATCCACAGATCTATTCATTAGGGCCATCTCCCCTGCAGCGATGAGCAGAACATGACATAGTACACATATCACCCTGTCCCAAGCTCTCATTTGTGCTGTGATCTGGAGAAGGTAAGAAACAGTGTCTCTCTTCTGGGCAGTAGAAGATGGACTGTTTCTAATTATCCTTTCTGCAGTGCATCAAGCCCACATTTGTGAACTGCTGTTTGGAAAGATTATAAGGTACAGCTTTTGACAAAGACAGTGTTTGGTTCCCCTACCCTTTTGCCTCTTGTTTCCTGTAGGTGGAGCCAAACCCCATAGCTGGATAACCTAAGGCCAGTTGAAGCTAGTGCATTTGAAACTCAGGTATAAACACTGATTTATACAAGACAAGAAGAACAAGGCATTTAGTGAGAATTTACACTAAATTCTCCTTTAGCCTTAGGTGGTAATGGTAGGAAAACAATGGAATGCTTTTTAGTGCAATGGTACATTCTGGATTCTTTTCCACAAGCTAATAGTAAAAATACAAACAGATAAAATTAGTTAAAAGAAAGCGACTATTAAAAAGGCAGGAGTTTATTGATGTGTTGATTTCTTTCAGAATAAACTCTGCATCTTTCATTCTGGTGTGAAGAAGATTCCTGAAAAATAAATAACGCAAGGGGACTGCCATCAAAGGACATGCTATGATGGAAGCATCTGGATCATCAACATAGGCTGCAAACTGTGAAAACTAACACAAAAAGTGTTAGGGTTCTTGTGCCGTGGTTTTAACAATAACTGTAGACCTATTGAGAAGACAATGACTTTCCTTTAAATTATTTGGTTAAATAAGAATAAACAGTGGATACAATTTATGGCAAATATATGCAGTACTGTAAAATGAATTAAATACCAGTTGTATAAAAGCTCTGTGTGGGTGGGGAGTGGGGAGAGGAGGGGGAACAAGAACATACAGGGAAAGACAGGAAGAAATTATTTTACATTCAGCATCCCTTTCCCTACTGCTACTTTTAAAAGCAAGATAATTCAAACAGAAAATGTTGTGTTACAGATGCACCAAGTTCCAGCTAATTCGTTCTCCCGCACATTGAGCACATCCTGTACTTTTGGCAAAAAGTTGACTGGATATTTAAAAACTGCGAATTGCTCTGAAAGTTTCACATAGTCGGTTATGGGCCATGTGTGTTTGATCAAAATTCAATTACTGCACTGTGCCAGGCTTGGAAATCTATCATTGCAAGTTATGAAGTATGATGAAATAAGCGACTCTAATTGGTTCAGTATGGGGAGCAGTCTCAACCAAGCTTGTTATTATAAATAGCTTCCTGTGTTAAAGGTTCTCTGGAGCTTAAGTGTCTTGGCTCACTACCTTCAAAAAAATAAGAATATTGTTCCCAGGAATGCTTACATCACTATCCTTCTTTGCTATTCTGAATCTAATGTTCATAATATTTCATCTTGTTGTTCTTGAAGAATATAAACAATGGACATTGCTGCCTTTTCTCTTGTCTTTTTGTTACTTCTTTCAGTCAAAGTATCTTAAGTCCCATATATACAGTGTTATAGAGATTTTTAAGTGCAGCTGCTGTTACTGGTAATTCCTTTGTTGTTGACTATGATTGCCACTTGGGAAATTAAGCTACTGTTCAAAATTGAGTCTACTTTATAGGAGGGGGAAAGCATTGTGGCAATGAACAAAGATTCTCACTTGTTAAATATATGACTGAAAGTTTGTTCAGTTTGTATGTGAATACTCTAAAGTTTTAGAAGTCTTATGTACTAGAAGTAGTGTCTGTTCTGTTCTCATTTCACAATAAAAGCCAACAGTGAAGGGCTGAGCACAGAAGAATCATTTGTTACTGATAGGCAATGTTGCTGTCTTATAGTCTCAAAAAGGGTTCACTGTTTTTGATAAGAAGCTAAGGAAAACAGGAGCCCTATTGCCCTTCTCTGTACTGCTTGGCTTTCTTTAATGGTTGACAAATTGGTTATATGAGTAGGTCATAATCTATGCATGATAATATACTAATTCTGTTACTAGTAACTATACCAGTTACTATTTGTTTTCTGAACTTTGATCCTATCATAGCTTACCATTATATTTAAATGTCCTGTTTAACCTTCTGCTAAAAGAAGTGTGTAATGCTGAAGTCGGCATTTCTAGCTTGTACTAAATCTACTGCAAAAAAAGTACCTCTCCATTTTAAAAAGCAATCTCCTTAGTCATCACTTAATCAAGCAATGACTAAGTGCAGCAATACAAAATTAGGGGAGGAAAACTCAGTACAATAAATGTTAGCATCTACATCTGAGACAGATGAAAAATAAATCTTGCCATTGCTTTTGAAAGTAGGATGTGCTCAGGTAGTTTAGGTCGTGGAGGGAGAGTATGTAATCTAAAATGTCCTTAGCCTGAATTTTGCTCTGTGTACGTTTGGGTATTTTTTAACAATAGCAAGTAGATGATAGTAATCATGTTATGGCTTCTTATAAAGTTCCTTCAAGAAGCAACTTTACCTTTAAAAATAGAATGTGACTGTAGGCACTTATGCTAATCTTCCTTTTGGCAAATCAGCTTTTTTTGTATTGAATCTTGCTTGATTGAATAGCACTGGAGCTGCCAGAGTAAATGCTATTATCAATGTACAGTAATTAAGGAAATAGTCCTTGTCACTCGAACAGCGTCCAGGCTGTGCCCGCTGTAATAAAGTTAAATGATAAAGAATTCTCTTTAAATAAAGTGCAGCTACTGGAGTGTGGTTACTTCTGAAATGCAGTGGAACAATGCCATAATTACCTGTGATAGGAAAGTATGCCCACTGAACACAATGTGAACATAGAGCTAATATATATAATTAGATAATATTAAACAATTAATCTCCTGATTTAAAGCTGGAGAAGCATGTTGTAATATCCCATCTCTAAAAAATTGAGAGGCTCAGAACTTTTTTGAGTTACATGCATTTATGCTCTTCAGAGTATACTGGCTGCTCTTTTAACATTTTTCAGATCTATTTGCAAGTTGTATAACTTTCATTTTGCTAAAATGGCTTTTGTGGTGATTCCCAAACTACTCAGGCCTCCTGTTTAAATATGAAAGATATTTGCATGAACATTTGAAGCTGACATCAATTATGATTTAAAATGTTGTGGTATTCTAAAGTAGCTTTACCTGTCTTAGACGTTTTACTGCTGCCAAGATAGCTAAATCTGCCCTGTGTATTTGGCATACAAACTAATGAAGAACTTACTCAGAAAGCCTATATTTGTGAGTTGTCATCATGAAGATGCTACTTGGAGATAATACCTTTCAGACCGCAGCTTCAGCCCAAGGAGATTAAAAGTAGCAGTGCATGATTTTCAGCAAAGAAGATGCGTTATCATTTTCCCCAAGAAACCTTGGGTGAATAAGCAGGACTGATTTGAACTGGCTGAAAGTGATCTCTGACTGTACCTGTAAAAATAGATTCCAGCTAACAGTTCTTTGAGGTGACAATGACACAAACTGTGCTGAGGGTTGCACCTAGGAAGCATGGCTGCCAAGTTAACATGCATTATGAAAGTGGTTGTTCAGCAGGTTGAGGAACCGAGCAAGGGTTTGATCTAATGGAATGGTGCACTACAGGATACAGTGACCACTGGAAGATAAAGAACAATGTCATAAGGTAACTTACGTATAAGAAAATACACCCATGGCATAAACACTAGCATAGCCGACCAGCAAAAGTGACAGAACGGTATTTCTTGTAGCATTTTCCCCATGAGTCACCGTTGTGTTTCCCAATTCTCAGACAACGTTGAACCTACTTGATCCATCCACTCAGTCTGCTCAACATAAGTAAGCCTGTTGAATGGAAGTGTCAGCAGAGTCAGATTCTCAACACGCTGGTGAAAGGAAGAGAAGGATGGAATAGCAGCATGATGGTAACCTTTGGAACAGGTTTTTGTTTCAGTATGTTTAACTTTGCATCCTTCTGTAGTTCCTTCGAAGAAAATGGTTGTTGGCACTCATCCAAGTGAGGTGAGAAAACAGTTGCAGTGCCTGACCCCAGAGTTCAGGTAGTAGCCCATGGAATCTACCCACAGTGAAATGGATGCCAGTAATCTGTCTCTCCCTTCCATGGTGATGAGTTGCAGGGGGTCTGGTTCAATTCCTAGGAGCTATGAGGTTTGTTTACTTTGTTTCAACTACTTGTGATGTTTCATTACTCTAGAAATCACTCTAAGTATCATACCTAGGCTTTGGGGTGAGGGGAGTTAAGGAAGACTGAGTAGATAATTTCCAAACCCAGTAATTCCTACAGATTGCTCTGTCTTCAATCTACCCTAACCCTTAAAAAATGTGCATTTTTTAGCTACAGTCTTATGCAGCTGTCCAGAAACTTTCCAGCTTCAAAGGTTATGGGCTTTCTATGGAGGACCACAGAAGTAAGGATTCCACAGAATGCATTTGCATTCCTCTCACCTTCAAAAACATTTAGATGGCAGATTTGAGCCTTCTAAATGTTTTCTCCCTCTTTATGAGGAGCAGCTGACACTACCTGAATTTGGTGAAATTTGACAATATTCTTTCTGATCCCTGGAACACTGCCCCAGCATCTCCTAAAGATGCCATTTCACAGGGGCTCTGAAGGTAGAGTTCCCACTGGGATATCAGAAGATTCCCTTCCAAATTAATTTCTGGTGGTGTATCAAAGCACACTTCTAATGATTTTTAGCACCTGTATGTGAGTGCTTGTGTATATATTTTTAGGAAAATTTTTAACATTTAACCTGTATGTTGTGGCCCTTGTTTTTATAGATGTTTAATTGTTTTATAGATGCTTAATTCATTATGTTTTAATGGGTTTTAATGTGTTTTTACTCTGTTAATACGTTTTGCATTGTAAGCTGCCTAGGAAGGCCTCAGCAATTATAGGCAGCCTATAAATAAATGTAAATAAATAAATAAATGCTGGCAGCCATGGTGGGTTATCAGCTGAGCAGAGTTCACCCTCTGTATTAAAGTAAAGTAGTAATGAGAATATGCCCTTAACCTTTGCTTTATTGCAGTATGTCATACATAGAAACTATTCTCTGCTTTTGCTATACAAAAGGAAAACGGAAGATGCCAACAGCAACTGGTTGGGCTTTTTCATTCCCATTCAGTTATCTGACTCAAGTCCTTTGCAGACTTAATTTTTGTAGTGTAATGAGACATTCATATGAATGTGTAGCTGAACTAAGGAAAACTTAAGGACCTTAGCCTTCCTAGTGACTCTATTAATGGCTGAAACACAGAAGAAGTG